AGAATTTCCACAGTCAGTTTAATTTAACTAATTTTATAAAAACATGCTATAATTCACAGGAATTCACACACTTTACTTATGGCTTGGCTCAATTATCTCTATCTTCAATCTCTCTTCAGCTTATATACTAAAAAAGAGGGCACCTGGAACAGACTAGAGTTGCCAGGAAAAGTCATGATCCTTCTAGAAACTCCAGCGCGCATGCTTCCAGCATCGCGTGACTTCCACTGTCATAACACTACAATAAACAAACTGAGAACCAACGTGAGGTCTTGTTTATGATAATGGCATAATGTAGTAGTTTGAGTTAGTTGTAAAATTTATTTAATAGCAGTTACTAAAGGGTTTACCATTTAGTTAAGTTAGTAAGCACTCACAGATCTCAAGTTCAAATCGGAGCTGAGGAAATAATAAAACTGAAATAACCACCATATAAATTGGCCTCAGTGTCTGGCTGCTTGGGTGAGGGTTGTAAAACAAGAGAAATCAAGAACAAGAGGACATAATAAATTTCAAAATAGGTCAAAGTTATTTTTAGAATATTGATTATTATGAGTTGTCATTTTTATCAGACACTGGTGTAAGTTGCATGTTTGACTTAGGAGATACAGCTATAAAGGATTTTAAATATACATATTTTTCCTATACAAGTAGTGTTGAAACTGTAAAAGTTTTCTGAGAAATTTATAACTGTTTGACAGTCTTGTGTTTGAAATCTATCTACTTGTAAAATTACTTATTTGTGTTTTTTAATGCTTTACCAATATCTACTGAGTCATCTGATTTCTGACTTCAAATGATAGGTGAGAAATCGATGCAGAAAAGGGATTCCACCATCTCTCAGAGCTAAAGCTTGGCAAAATCTGTGTGGAGCTTCTCACTTATTAGAAGCTTACAAGTATAAATTTCAGGTAAGTGTATGATTCTGACTCCTTATTTTTTGTACAAGTTTTATCATTATTTTGTTATGTAACTCAACTTTTTTGATAGTGCAGTATCTTTTAATGCTATTGCTCATGGCAAAACATTTTAAGACTTAACCTTCTCAACATATGTGCCATATATATATATATATATATACAGTATATGACTTCTATCTATTTGTATCACAACTGAAGTGGCAAAAAATGTTCATCTTTGCATCTAAAGTGATATGATTAGCTGTCAAGTTGAAATTTAGTACTAGATGGTGATAACTGAATTTAAGTTATAAAACAATAACTGAAAATACATAAACAATGTAAACATGTCTTGTTTATTAAACCCAAATCTGTTTCAGAATTATTGGTGATACAATTAGGAAAACATAATTTTTTGTCACAAGTAAAAAATTGTTTAGATAATAATACTGTTATAATAGTTTATCTTTTTGGGCAGCTTTTTGATTATTTTGTGAAAAAAAAAAATTAATGCAAAGTTAAATCCAACTTGAATTTTCCTTCTTGAACTTCAAGTTCTAATATTATATGGTTTCACAAACTGTTAAAAAAATGCTAGAAAATCACTTACTTGCTAATTTTATCCAGTATCTAAAATTTATATATTTTTTAGAACTTAATTTAAACACAAACTCAAAATGTACAGGACTAAATAAATAAAATCGCTAACTTAATATTAATTCTACTACTATAAAACTTACTAATCAGTCAACAATTCAATCTAGTTGCTCCTAATTAACCCTTTCAAGACGGGTCACAGGTGAAAGGCCATGTCATCTTGTTTGTTGACTCGCATTCAAAATTTTATTGAACTACTATATCATGGATTTATATCAATAACTTTGGTATCAAACTGTACATTATAATTCAAATTTTAATACTATACATTATTCAATTTTTTAATTTAAAGTAGATATTAAAAACACAGATAGACATCGATTTTTGTGGGTCACATGGTATATTGAATGTAGCACTGGTTCAAATTAGATGTTTATGAAGTCAAAATACTAAGTCTATATTTTTGTACGAATTAGAAACTCAAATTACCGATATTGACAAGCTAGAATATCAAATAAGAACATCTTATCTTTTCTATTTGCTAAGATATTGCTCATCTAATAAATCAAACACAATGGCACCCTCCCCACCTCTTTCAATTTTTGGAAATGCTCCCTTATATACGTTCCTTTATAATAACTTCTATATGTAACATGAATAACCAATCAGAAGCTCAGAATGTTCCCCTAGTAGCTTTCTCAGCATTTTAACGGGCTTGGACACCATTTCTTTCTTTTGAACCAGTATTTCAAGGAGGTAGTCTGCTTGAAATTTCATTTTTTAGAATAAAATACATCTTAGTTACTGAGCTTGATAAATTATAGTTGAATTCTATGGTATTGATGTAGTAATTTATGGATTTCTTAGTTATTCAAATGTATATATATAAAACCTAAAAAATATATTTTGTTTCATATCCTCCACATGCAAAATTTTTAAAGGCTAAGCAACCTATGTCAAGCAGCAACCGAGTACAAAGGTCTTAACTAGAAGAGATAATTGTTTGCTTTACTTCTTTATTTACTATTTACTATGTTTTACGAAAAATATGTTTAAGAACTTATTTCAAAATAGCAATAACCTATATACATATATATAATGTAAAATAATTGAAATGTGACTGTATTTTACAAAATACTAGTTGACTAAAACACAGCCAAGAGAAGTTACTTTTTACAAACCTAAGGTCAGGTTTATGTTATTTGATATGGAAACATGAGTGCATGTGAGCCGCATCATTGTAACTTCTGTATTGTTAGCCAGGCAAGGGTGAAAGGACAATATAATAAAAAATAATAAATATATATATATATAAATGTATAATGTTATGAGATTTAAGCTATTTTGTCTAAACATTTATGTTTTTGTGTTATAATTAGTATTCACTCTAGAATGAAAGAGGCATAATTTATTTTTATTTCCTAATTTTTTATGGTGGTTGCAAGGTCATTCAAATCTACCGAACCCATACAGAGATTAGTTACTGAAAATAACAGATAAAATATAAAGTTTTTTTTAAAGAAATGTTTTATAACTATCCGGACACTATAAAAATTTCGCACATGAAATTTCAAAATTTTCTAATGCATAAAAGAGTTTTTAATCTTACAATGAAAATTAACTTTGCATGATAGATAGGCAAGATGTGAAAAGAAAAAAAAAATGCATGAGGGAAACATTGCTTTACAAACCTTATGACTTAATAAGAAAGATATTTTGTGTATGAAAGCATTGTAATGTTTACGGATAATCTGCCAAATTTCATTTACG